CAGAGCTGGTAGGTTCAAATCCAGCCTGGGCCTGCCAAACAATGACAATTACAACCAAAAAATAGCCAGGCATTGCGGCAGATGCCTGTAGTCCCAGCTACTTGGGAGGCCGAAGGAGGAGAATCACTTAAGCCCAGTAGTTGGAGGTTGCTGTGAGCTGTGAAGCCACGGTACTTTACCCAGGGTGACAGCTTGAGGCTCTGTCTCAAAAAAAAAAAAAAGACATCCCCTGAAAATAAGCCCTAGTATGTCTTCTTGAGAAAAAATAAATATAAGACAGTGTCTTATTTTCGGCTCTGGTGTGTGTGGCTGGCGCCTTAGCCGCTTGAGCCACAGGTGCCCAGCCTTCAGAAGTTGTTCTCGCACTTGCTGTTACTTCTATAAGAATATTCTCCTTCTCCTTGTCAATGGCTAGTTCCTTTGAATCACTCAGATCAAACATCCCTCCTCAGAGAATGTGACCTGTAACACTTCATGTGCCTTCATCTCAGCCCACAAGAGTTACTAGCATAACCTGTGTTACCAACTACTATATCTAAAATTCTTACTTATCCACAATGTAAGCTTTGAGGTGAGAGATTTCATCTTCCACATATCCACATATTGTTCACCACATATCCCAGCTGTTTAAAATAGTGCTTGGCACACAGGAGACACTTTTGTTGAATGAGTGTACACACACACAGATGTATTTACATGAAAAATATTAAGAAAGTTCTTAAAGGATCTAATACTTAAACCTGTTTACACCAAGAATGAGCATGAGACTCCTAGGCAATGACCATGCTTTTTTTTTTGCTTCATCTCTATCTAAATTTTCTCCAAAATATCATGTTTTCAGTAACTGTGATCTTGTAAATATAATAATCACATGAGCTTAAGATATTCAATCTGTTATGCTTCTCTATGTCTTTTGGTGGGCTGTAATGATCTAATTCTGTGGAATAAGAGAGTCATCTGATTGCAGGTCCATCCTTGAGTTGTTTTGGTAAGGCAGTTCAAAGGGAGCATCTTAAACCTTTGGAGCTGAAAATAATTTACTCATCAGTCCCCCCAACTTTACAGATGAGGAACAGACTCAGAGTAATTAATAAAAAAATAGAGTACTGACAAAAAATTGTCAAACACCAAATAATTAAGAATGATTTAAGGCTCAGCGCCTATAGCTCAACCGGCTAAGGCGCCAGCCACGTACACCTAAGGTGGTCCGTTCGAATCCCCAGCCCGGACCTGCCAAACAGGTTGCAACCAAAAAAATAGCCGGACGTTGTGGCGGGCGCC